GGTAACTATATGAAATAAAATCTGGGTGTCTGTATCACAGTTAAATAAAATAATTAGAAGATGGCAATTAGTATCCTCTGCCATAAGCACCAATTGTAGGATCTTTTAACCTTGGTGATGTGGATGTTTTGGGTCAGACTAATTCTGTTGTGGGTATCCTGTGCATTATAGAGTGGGATTAGCAGCATCGCTGGCTTGTGTCCACTAGTAGCATCCTGATTGTGATTACCAAAAATATCTCTATGTACTGCCAAATGTTCTTTGAGGAGGTCCTTTCCACTCCTTGTTGTGAACCATTGATTTACTGTGTGTAGGAACTGTGTTAGTCACTGGGAAGAAGACAAAAACAAACCATAAGTGAGACAGTTTCCAACAGTGGTAAATGTTAAGATGAAAATAAAATAGGGTAAAAAGTCAAGATAAGGTCTTGGCATTGTGATGCATGCCTGTAATCCCAGCATATCAGGAGGTAGTGAAAGGAGGATCCCAAGTTTGAGGCCAGCCTCTGGAATTTAGTGAGATCCTGTCACAAGATAAAAAAAGTAAAAGGGCTGGGGATATATCTCAGTGGTAGAGAGCCCCTGGGTTCAATGCCCAGTCCTGAGGGAAAAAAAAAAAMAAAAAAMAAAAAAACAAAAGCCAGTTGAGTGAGATGTAGGGAAGGTGGACTGACAGGATGCTGGATATTAGGTGGGAGTCTGATGAAATCTTGGGGGTTTTAGGTGATTTCAGGTGCAATTGAAAATATTTGGAAAACTTTAAACAGGGAATGACATAATGACATGATCTTTGATCTTTTTAAAAATTAAAAAAAGTCAGGTAGTTGCTGAGAATGTGTATGAAAGGGTTAGGAGAAGATCCAGGGAGATCAGAAAAAGTTTGTCATAATAGTTCAAGTGAGAGTTGATGGTGGCTTGCAATTTTGAGTGGCAGAGGAATGGAGAAATAAAATTCAAGGAGAAAAAATTAACAAAAACAGGAGATGGCTAAGGCAATCTTTGATTTGTCCAAATGGCTAACAGGCAGCCTAAGTAGTGGTTTTCCACACATTTTGAAATTCAGTCCAGGCCTGTATAGATTAGTCTTGTCTATTTCTGTATTAGTTTCCCGTAGCAGCTGTAACAAGTCACCATAAACTTGGTAGCTTGAATCATCATATTTATTCTCATAGTCCTGGAGGCTAGAAGTTCACTATCAGTTTCACAGAAAGGTATGCAGTGTCATGATCCAGCACAGACTCTAAGGGAGAATTTGCTCCTTGCCTCTTCCAGTTTCTGGTGGCTACTGGCATTCCTTCACTGTGGATATCACTCTAATCACTGCCTCTGTGGTCATACTGCCACTTCCTTTAATGCTTGGTGGTATCTTCCTTTATTGCTCTAATAAGGATAATTGTGATTATAGTTAGGACTTAGCCAGTTCTCAGATTATATAACCTCTCCATCTCAAGAGCCTTCATTTAATCACATATTTTATCTTCTGCCATAGAAGAAAATACTTCCAGCATCCAGGGATTAAGACATGGGTATTTCCTGGGAGGCTGGAATTCAGTCTGTCACACACAGTTCCTTAAGTATTTGAAATCACTTTTGGCTAGAGAAAGAGGGACTGAAAGTCACATGTTTCTTAGAGATCAAAGTGGAAAGCAACACTGTGAGACAATAATAAATAAAATGCTCTTCAGTAAACAAACAGAAAAATCTTAAGAAAAATAAATTTTCATAAGTGGATTTTCAAGATTTCTAGGAAAGAGGCTGAGAGATTTTAAAAAATACAGGCATGCTTCATAGACTTTAGACAGTCATTCTAGACTAGACACTAAAAAGCCAATGCTTGAAAGAATTTCTATATTTATACATTTGGTAATGGACACTCAAATGCATGATACATCACATGTCTGGAGGGCTTGGCTGGGCCATTCAGTTGTGGTGGTACCCAGATTAGAGAGACACTGAGAAGGCAGTAGACACCAAAAAGAAAATGAGAAGGCAGAACTAGGCTAATCCACAGAGGCAGGGCAAGATAACAGGCACAAATAGCTTGGCAGCTGTGGTTGGGAGCTCTAGATTGGGGTTCAGGGACAGGACTTTGTCACTGGAAAGGGATCCTAGTTCCCAACATAGTGTAATAAGTAACTAGGAGAGGAATTTAGGCCTTAGGGAACAAGTGATTGGGCTGGGGACTTAGTTCAATGGCAGGGAACTTGCCTAATATATGTGACGTCTTAGGTTTGAGCCCTAGCACTGAAAAGAAAAAAAAAGGAACAAGGAAATTACAAGTATTGGAGTTCAACATTGAGCTGTATAAGCAACAAAGATGACTCCTGTGGAATTCTAGAATGCTCAGCTAGAAGATAAGTGCTACTTCCTAGAGACCAAAAACTCAGGCAGATGTTTAAGTAGGAAGTCTGACAAACCTATGTAATTCTGATGGAAAAAGGGAAAAATAACAGTCCTGTGTATGAATTTATAATGCCGTTCAAGACATAAAGAAGTCATTACTGATAATGAGAAGAAAAACAATTTAATATGCAGTGTAACTAAATTCATGTAATACATATTTCCTCACATGATAGAAATTGCTAAGTACCTAAAGAGAGTTAGGAAGAACTAACAAATACGATGTGTGAGACAGTTTGGTACAGTGGTAAAGCATACAGATTCTGTAGCCAGACTCCCTGGTTCAAACACTGGCAAAACATGGCAATGTTTTCAATTTAGCAAATTACAGCCAGTTGTGAATGAATATCTAGGGAAACTAGATACATGAATTCTAGACTCAAATCCTTACCCTCAAATCCTTTCCTTGGGAAAAAGGATCAAACTTTCAAAGTCTCTAGTTGAAGATCTGCAAAATTGAGTGTTGAGGTTTAAGATCCCCTATATGTAAACATTAAAAAGTTTTGCAAATTCTCATGCTTGTCAAAAAGTATACAGACTCCTTACTATACAGTTTGAACAACTTTGAGAATCACTGTGTAATCTTAGTTTGTATAACAATCCTTATCAAATTTTATTATTCCCATTTTGGAGATGAAAATGGAGGCCTAGCAAATTTGAAAAACTTAAAAATCACATGGCTACATAAATGATGACGTTGGGATTTTGGTTCTTCCAGTTCTAAAGATGTGTATTTTTCTCCATTTTTTTGCATGTTATTCTGACTTTAGACTTGATTTTTGTAGAGTAGGCCAAGATCACACACATTCAATATCTATGTATTTACCCATATAGATCTCACTTTGATATTTCTATGTCTCTACTTTGAGCTGTCATTTGTTCATTTTTCTCCTATTTCAGCACTCCCTTTCCTTGTTATTTATGGTGTTGTTAGACCATATGGGCTAACTCCTATTTCTTACTCCTGTTAAATGTCTCCTTCATATCTGTTTTCTAGCAGTAACACTTGACTTTTACTTGAAATGATATTATACACCTTACAATAAAAAGTCAAATACACATAAAATTAAAATACACATTAAAATTACAATGAACAACAGCTGGGTGCTGTGGTGTACGCCTGTAACCTCAGCAACTTGGGACACTGAGGCAGGAGGACTGCAAATTTGATGCAGCCTGGACAACTTAGTGAGTCCTGTCCAAGATTAAAATTAAAAAGAGTGGGCTACAGAGTACCTGCTTAGCATGCAAGAAGGCCCTGGGTTCAATCCCAAGTACTAAAAAAAAAAAAAACAAAAAACAAAACAAAACAAAACAAAAAAAGAGGATGAGGGCTGGGGATGTGGCTCAAGCAGTAGCATGTTTGTCTGGCATGCGCGTGGCGCTGGGTTCGATCCTCAGCACCACATACAAATAAAATAAAGATGTGTGTCCGCCAAAAACTAAACAATAAATATTTATAAAAAAATCTCTCTCTGTTAAAAAAAAAAGGAGTATCATGTATATTCAATAGCAAAATAGTTTCCACAAATAGATACTAATTTAAGCTCTTTTTGAGTTAATGGTTATTCATTTGTTTTAAATGTTCGTCAAACATTTGAACAGTTATTTTTCATTTTCTTTTATATTTAGGTCTTTATGAGACAAGGAAATAAATTTTCATGTCTAAACACTGAAACCTAAATTGTTAACTAAATTGTTACTCTTACAATCACTATCTCTAAATGAATATTTGAAAGGAAAGCAGCATTTAATATTTAGCTTCTAGAATACAGAAATGTCTCAGAAACTGTGGACACCAGTGTATGAATATTTGAGGTAATATCTGTGTAATTTGTAGCTCTCACAAACATAAAAACCACTGCTTTTTGGATATGTTATACATTAATTTTTTAAGTCAATAATTCCACATTGTAAAATAAGTTCAGTCCAATGCTATGATAGTTAATGCAAACAGTTGTAATCTCTATTAATAGATGATCTTGAAAAGGTAGAATTCTTTTTTTTTTTTTTTTGAACCAGGGATTGAACCTAGGGGCACTTAACCACTGAGCCACAATCCCAGCCCTTTTTTATATTTTATTTAGATACAGGGTCTCACTGAGTTGCTTAGGGCCTTGCTAAATTACTGAGACTGACCTTGAACTCACGCTCCTCTAGCCTCAGCCTCCAGAGCTGGGATTACAGGCGTGTGCCATGATGCTGAGTGAAAAGGTAGAATTCRTAACAATTTTTGTGTTACTAACACAAATGTCAATTAAAAAACAGTATGACAGGTGTAAAAGTGCAGTAACAAAAATATATCAATAGTCTTATTTGAGTAAACCATAGTAAGATCAAGCTTAAAAAAAACATTGTCATTGTTTTCACTGTTGTTGGTGACTCTTCTCTATAAATACAGTGGTTAATATTTATCATTTATCCTTATTTAAATTTCCTATGAATAAATTTTCCAATACTGAATACTATTTTCAAACACATCATTATCAGCAACTGATTAAATAGATTATTACTGAAAACTCATCAAAGCTTTCAAGGCTATTAATAGTTTCATGCAACTTTAAAACGTCTAAATTTGGAAGTAACTGGCTAATCAATGAACCTTTTATTGGTAAAGAGCCACCATTGCACCAATGTCTATCAATATGTAAATATGGGTTTTAACATGCTTATATATTTTTTAAAGAGCTGGAATATAATCTTTGTAATATATTTGAAACATTATCAAATATTTTGAAAATTTCACTACTACCTAGTCTATGTGTGGCATTAAAAAACACTATTAGCCAGTCATAGTACATTTTTCTAAATTGAATTTTAAATTTTCTAGTGGCTACCATGATAACAAATTTGTTATCTTGACACGGTGTATCAGAATCTTCTTCCATGAAGTTCACAGACCTTTCTTATTGTCTCTTTCTAAACGATTCTATAAGAAAAAAGATAACATATAGTAAAGAGAAACAGATTCACAGACAAAAATATCTAAAAAAACTCTTCTGTGTATAACAATTAAATATACAACTAATCATGTGTGAAAAATGAATTAGGAAAGTCTCAAAATTATMAAAAGTATAAAATTTGAGTTTTGCTTGAAAAAACCTTACAGGGCCAAAATAATACCCTTGGATAAGTTCATTTTTTTTTCCATTTCTTAATCTATTTTGCTTTTGTTTCACAGGTGACCCAGGAAAACAAAATTTTTAAAATTCCCCTACAGTAAACCCAATTAAGATTTTTGGCAAGGAAAGAATGAAGGGAAGCAAAAACCCAGTTGGAATGGCTTTTCTTTTTTGTCTTTCTCAAATTAGAACTGGCTTCACAAATTATGCTTTCCTGATCATGTTATAAAGATGACTATAATATGTCACTTAAAACTGAAGGAAAATGGCAGAGAAATTAACCTTAAGAGATCACTTGAACTAAGAAATCTCTTAAGAGGAACTGCAGAGTATTATTACTTGTACACAAAACTCTTGTTCAGTTTGAGCATTAATGCTTTCAGAGCAACTTAAATAACATTAACAATCAAAAAGATAATGGGATTAGAGGAGGTATCTTGAATAATAACATACCACTTTTACACAGTTATTTATATCTAACTATTTTAGATAAAAAATCACAGCTTTAATGGAATTATTAAGGACAAGTCCTTTAAGCAAATGGTGATTTTTCCAAAATGAAATTTAAAAACTGTCAAGTGCTAATGGGTTTGTGCTGCCAAAAATCCCTAATCAGTTCTTTTTCTTTTCTAAGAAGAAAGTCAGGGCAAATAAGGAAAGTAAAGATTACATGTTTTGAAGGAACTGTATTCTAATATTTACTTAGTGCCTATATAAGGGACAGGAACCAGATGGGAAAATCCAAATGGATTTAAAAGATGCAAAATGAGATTTAACTGTGGAAAAGAAACCAGGTTTCCCTTACTTTTATTTTGTTTCTTTAATATTTTAATTATCCTTTATATTATGCTTGTTTCATTTGTACACCTCAATTATATAAAATTAAGAAACTCATAAGTTTTCCAGAGAATCTTGGAATATAATTCAATTACTAAGGTTGGTTTTTGACAACAGAAAATATTCATGAGGTTAAACTCATAAGGTATAGTTCTTATTTAAGTAATGGAGTTAGTTGAGGTACATGGATGTCTGATAATTCACCTGAGGGTTATAGAAGCTGGGATTTTTTTTCCCAACCCTTTGAACAGAGATATTTATTAATGGGAGCTGGTTTCACATGTGATGAGAATAGTTGTACCAAATATTGAGGTAAGGCACTTCAAGGATTAGCAACAGCAAAAATCCACCACTACTCCTTGGGCTGAAGAGACAAAGGAGGTTATGGTTAAGGGGCTCAAGACTGAGGGCCAGCAGGTAGAACTGGAACTATTGCCCAGTGGGGAACTAGAACCATGTAGGGAGGGAATTAGAGCCATGAAGGAGATGATACCCAAAGGAAGTGGGTAGGGGGAGGAGTTCTTGGTTTTCTTTTTCCTCTTGCTTTTAGCCTGGGAAATTATCTCTCTGAGACATGGAGTAGAGCAGCAATGGGAAGAGAATGGATCAAGAACACATAGTCTAATCAATGACCAGCAAAGGCCAAAGAACCTGGTTAATAATGAAAGTTCTAGAGAAAGATTTTCTGACTTTGAATCCCAACATTAAATCTATCACCTTCTCGTTTACTTTGGGTGAATTATATAACACTTTTGGTTCTTGTTTGTCCACAAAAATGTGGATATTAATATATTTTAACTTACTGAGTTGCCATGGGGGAGTAAGCATATATGAAGCCAAGTGTTATGTCTATTGCACATTCTCAGTAAATGTAATCTATTAAGAATTTTTAAAAATGAGATACAAGTAGAAATTAGATTAAGGCCTAAAGATGCTATCAAACAAGGCCCAACTCCCAGACTGGTACTTGGTATATCTAGGAAGGGGTCCTTTTCCAACGAAATGGATATYAACTATTTTTTGGGGAAAGAATTACTCAGAAAAGCTTTCTACATATTTTGCCAAGTATACAGAAGTTCCAAGCTGAAGGTAGTTTTTTTTTTTTTTTTGGTGGGGGGGGGCACGGGGTGAGAACGGAGGTGGACAGGTTGGGGAAATCTTACTGTTATATATTCTTTAGGGATTAAGAGAGTTGCCCTTTGCTATTGCTGTTACTACAATGGAGACATTGAGCAATGAATGCTGTTTATAAGAAATTGAGGGTATGTCCTGTTCTTCTTTTCTCCATTCAATGGTCTAAGCATTTTTCAGACCCTGGTCAAGTCCACAGATATTGAAATATCCTGATTGAGGACACCTTGAATTCACAGGAGGAAAAAAAAATGTAGGTACAAGGCCTTTGAAATGAATTCTCCACTTCCCATGGTGGATCTTGATTTCATGGAGTAATTCTTATCATGCCCTGAGGAGGTAAGCAATTTCACAAACTGTACTATACTGAGGGGAAGGGCAGTCTTGATGGAAATCTAACTGTCTACTCCAAACCTATTTGAACTGAGCCCTTAGTGTCCTGGGACTGGGACACATAGGATATCTACCCTTCTCTAGGCTGCCCAGTCTTCTTATTGTTCTTGTCAAAATAGGCTAGTTGAATCAAACATGCAAACCAACTGGGAATGCCGGATTACAAATATGCTTTGTAATGCTTCTTAACTAACCCAAGACCAAAGTGTATGGTTGAGAATAAGATATTCTTCAGTAAAAAGAAAGTGAATCTCAGAGAGATAATATAATCTCCAAAAATCGAAAAGCTAATATAATACTAAGGTATTCTAGGTATTATTTATATTATTTATATATATTATATAAATACCTATATATTATTCATATATATGTATATATGAATAATATATAGGTATTCCAGGTCTTTGACTCCAAAGTCTATTAAGTATAGTGTCTCTGGAGTGGTCTCTTTCACATATGATCAAAGTATGGTTAGGAAATCACTTCAGGTTATTGCATGGCAACTAAAGAGAGGGACAAAGATAAGCCCAATATGGATGAATGTTTGGAAATAACTCTATAAAGGGACATAATGTCTGCAAGAAGGGTAGAGATGGAAAACCTATGGCTCAGATCTGACTATGACTTTAACAACAGAGAGATGTTTTTTCCTCCTATTTCCATTGTTCGAATCAACTGTACAGTCAAATCATGTTATGTATTTTGAATGCCACAGTCTTTTGTCCTAAGGTATCTCGAATACCTGGGATATTTGGCCTCACTTTGGCACAAATACTGCGAACATTCCACAGTGAAACTCCAGATTTTCCAGAGCCAGTATATTTTCAATGCCGAATTTTTTTTGCCTCAATTCTTTCACCTAACATTTCATCCAAATTGAGATATTAAGTTACATGTCAACATTCTTTATGTGATGACTACCTTGTATTTTGCTGCAATGTCCTAATCTTCACCCTCTAGGTAAATCTGCCTTCTTCAATCATTTAATATAGCCAGGATTAAGTATCTCATTTTAAATTTAGAAGGACAAATATTGATTACTATTTCAAAAAATGTAGGTGAAGTGTATGTTACCCACCTGAAGTTCTGAGTGCTCTTTCAGGAGTCGATCATATTCTTTTGAAAGTCTCTCTGACTGTGTCTTCATTGTCATCACATCACTCTGTGCCTTATAAAGGGCTAGAAAATATCAAATAGAATTTTATTTTAAAAGAATTTGAAATTCACAGAAGAGCTGCAAGACTTATATAGAGAATTTGTATAGTCTTTACTCAAATTTACCAATTGTTAATGTTGTACTACATAGGTTATCATTTTCTCTCTTTCTCTTTCTTTTCTTTTTTTTTTTTTGATGGTAGTGGGAATTGAATCCAGGGGTGCTTTACTACTAAGCCACAACCCAAGTAGTTTTTTTTTTTTTTTTTTTTTGAGCTATGGTCTTGCTACTATGCTGAGACTGGCTTCAAACTTGAGATCCTCCTGCTTCAGTCAGGATCCCGAGTCTCTGGGATTATAGGTGTGCACCATCATACCAGGTGAGCACACTGTCACACATGATTATTTTCTTCAATCACTTGACAGTAAATTGCAGACATCATGCCTCTTTACTCTTTAAAATTTTACTGTGTATTTCCTAAGAATAGAATATTCTCTAACATAATCATAGTATAGTTACTAAAGTTAGGAAATTTAACATCAATGCAATACCTTTAATTTACCACCCATAATCTGGCAACTATCCCAATTATCCTAAGTATGCCCCTTTTAGCTTTTTATTTTCTTCCTATTTCTAGTCCAGGATAGTCTTGGATAACATACTACATTTAGTTGTTGGGTGTCTTTAGTTTTATTTATTCTGGAATAGTTCCTCAATCTTCCTCCAGCCCTTCTATCTCCATCTTTTGTGACACTGGCATTTTAAAGAATATAGTCCACTTTTGGGAGCTCAGTGGTACAGTGTTTGCCTGGCATGCATGAGGCCCTTGGATCAATCCCAGCACTGTTTTTTTTTTTTTTTTTTAAAGAGTGAGTTTTAAAATAGAACAGTTCATTTTGGTTTGGTTTTAAAATAGAACATTCATTTTGGTTTGGTTTTGACTGACTTTTCTCATGATTAAGTTCAGGTCATGCATCCACTTACTTATGAACATAAGAAATGTTTAATTTATTAGGATATTTAGAGGCTTATCACATCTAAAGATCCTTTGCCCCTCACTGCTTTTTCCATTTTAAAGTTGATACTTTCCTCCTTGTAACTAAAGCAGCAATATATGGGAAGATAATTTCAATAATGTAAACATATTGCTCCTCTTAAAACATCTCCCCTATATCCCACTGATAATTCTTGCCTAAATCAATCCTCATTATGTCAGTTGCAAAATGGTGATTTTACCTACTTCACCATCCCATGCACATTAATGTCAGCATTCTACTGTAAGGAAGAATCTTTCTTTTGCTCTCCACCCATTTATTTGTCAATTCCATCCATCTGTATGAACTTGTAGCTTTATATTTTTTCAATGACTTACAATTAATTTCTATATTTAATTATTTTGATGCTTAAACTTCCCTAGAATTTTTCAGTATGAACTTCTTCATGCTGGCTCCTAGTTCCATTGACATGTCTCCACTTAACTTATTTAGATTATTTGGTTACTTTCTGGCACAACATGTCTAACACTCTCCTAAATCTTCCCTAGCTCAGCATTATAGAAGAAGTATCAGAAGGGTCTGCTTCCAAAAACATGGATAGAAAAACTATTTTATCATTCTTGCTAAGGGATGGTCAACTATATCTCACAAAGTTAAAAGTATGGGGTATATAATTAATGCTTAAAAGGTTTTAACTGAAGATAATGACACACAAAATGGCTATATATATGCCTCTGTTGACCAAGAAACTACAGTTATAAGTCATCACATTAAAGTCCTTAGAAAAAACAAAACAAAACAAAGCAAAAAAAMCAAATATATAATAACACAGTTTGGAGAAGAAGATAATGAGCAAAACATACAGAAGGGAAGAGTAGCCTAAATAGGCAATTGACAAATTAAAATTGACATACTTGAAATTTTCTCTTAATGTTTTTAGAAATTAGTTTTCCAAAATCTGGGAATACTGAACAAGTTCTCTATATAATACTGTATAAATAGTCTTTGGAAGTTCTGCATTTGTTAATCTTTTAGGGTAAGAGTTTTAGGGAAGAATGTGGGATTTATAAGTTTAAAATTACTTTATTGTCACAATGAAATTGTCTTATTATAAACAATCTAAATGCCTTCTTGAGAAATCATTTTGTGGACATTTTTACATAAACATACAAGCCATTATCAATTAAAATGCTTTATGTCTTAGTACTTTGTTAGTTGTCAATATGGAAGTAATTACCTATGCACAGCTAGGGTGTRCTTTAAATGCAGCCAGTACAATTAAGGAAGAACTGAATTTTAATTTTATTTTTCATTAAATTTCAATTTAAATAGCCAAATGTGCCTAGTGGCTAGCCATATTAAATAGCACAACTTCATAATTTCTTTTTTATTCTTTTATAAAGTCACAATTCCAAATTAGGTATTAAAACTGATTTTGACAAACTTAATATAATATTACTTGGTAAAGGTAGACAGATTTTTTTGGGGTAGTTAGATTTCATTAGGATCACAGCTACAATATAGAGTTAATATACAATATAGAGTTAAATTAAATATTAATTTTCAATTTGGATTCTATCAGAAAGGCATTTCCAGAGGCTACCTGAAAATAAGAAACATGGGGTAGGGAGGGGGAGCATGGAAAGAATAGATGAATTCTAGATAGGGAAGAGGGGTGGGAGGGAAAGGGAGGGGGCAGGAGATTAGCAAAGATGGTGGAATGTGATGGACATCATTATCTAAAGTACATGTATGAAGACACGAATTGGGTGTCAATATGAAAATTGTGGTATATATGTGTAATAAGAATTGTAATGCAAAAAACCACAAAGTACATGTATAAAGACATGAAATGGCATGAATATACTTAGATACAAAGACATGAAAAATTGTGCTCTATATGTATAATAAAAATTGCAATGCATTTTGCTGTTATTTAAAAAAATAAAATCAATTAAAAAAAAGAAAATAAGAAATATGGTTGGTGTTATCTTTAGGACTTAATAAAAATGCTTAAGAGCCCATATTTCTGGTATTTAAAAAGCAAAGTAGATTTCACAATCTAATAATGCCTGACTAGCCTTCGTAGGTTTTAAGGATGTTGATGTAACAATCTAAATGTTTCTTTGCTCCTAAAAGTCATATGTGAAACTTAACCACAATGTCATGGTATGAAGAGGTGGGGCTGGGAAGTGATTAGGTCATGAAGGTGAAGCCCTCATGAATAAGATTAGTGCCTAAAGGTCACAGAGAGCAGTCTTGAAGACAGGTGAGAGGACTCCATTTATAAACCAAAAAACAGGAACTCACCAGACACTGAATCTGTACTGCCTTGATCTTGAACTTCCCAGCCCACAGAACTATTCGAAAGAAATTTAAGTTGTTTGTCAGCTAATATGGGTCTTTGTTACAGCATACCAAACAGACTAAGACAGTTGGTCAGGAGCTTGCATTGAACAGGGGGTTTGTTCTTAATGTTAAAAATAATTTAAATTTCTGACAAGAATAAATTACTTAGGAAATTTAAGACATCTAAGAAGCTATAATCTACTCAAGAATTTCCTCAGGTTATTACTGGTATAAAGCTATAATAAAACAACAATGTGTAAATGTTGTTTCTCTGCCACGTCAAGCCAAGGTATGAACTGTGTTTTTGTTTTTGTGTTTCAGTGGATATCAATAAGCTTAATGATTACTCTCCTACTGAATTCACTCCAATTAGGGAAGATTATTACTGTCTATAAGCCTCTTGGACTGTTTCCTAGTTCTTTTCTACCTCTAATTTTATAAAAAATTACAATACTGTGTTTTGGATGCTTTCCACCTCCTTCTGGAACTGCATCTGTAACTAAGGGATTATATAAACTTGTCATCTGACATGTGAGTATGCTTGTTTTATTTTGAGCCATATTATTTTGGAAACAGCATATATAGGAAAAACATAATTGGACAAGGAGGTTTGAGGTGACAAATCTAAACTGCTGTTTCAATTTTTGTATCTGCAAAAATGGATTGCTATCACTTGCCAGTAGCTTTGCAGAAATGCTGAGGTATTTCATGAGAATCTGGCAGATTGAACTAGAGACTAGGTTTGGAGTCACTAGGAACTTAAGGCACACACATCATTCATTAATATAGAAAATAACCACAATAAATATCACAGTGATGTATATTAAGCCAATATTCTGTGCAAAATGACATATAAACAGATAAAAAATATATGTGGTCTTTCCAAGTGCTAAACTACTACATTTATGAGGCTACTGGCACAGTGGGAGGAGCTAGTGATACTAACCTACTGTGTAAATGTATTATATTACTATGATTTCTACCAGAGATAACAGAGACAGTTAAGTCTTGCCAGGAAATGAAAGAGAATAATTTTTAGAGGCATTGGCATGGTATATAAAGTTGGGTTACTATACAATAGCTGGAAGGATTGAGCCAGAGGAAAACATATCTTATTTGAAAATTTTCCATATGTCTAGTGTTGTTTTCTTTTCACTTAATTTGGTTCTGTTTTTGAGAACTCAAGAGTGCAATACATTGGAGTTATCCAGTAGTTAGGCTTTGTATGTACTATTCTTTTGCCCTTTATCTATTATTGTACATTAAACCACTGTAATGCTTCCAAGATGCTTAGAAAATAGACACACAAACTTTTGTTCACTAAGGAACATAAACTGTAACTTTAATTATTTATATATATGCCTATAGTGTCAGATCCATGTATATAAGGTCTATGTTTTATTAACCATTTCATTGATTACCTACTGTCTCTCTTTTGATACTGGGGATTGAATCCAAGGCTTTGCATGTGCTGATAGGCAAGCACTCTACCACTGAGCTACATTCCCAACCCTTTCTAAAACTTATTTTGAGACAGGGTCTTGCTAAGTTGCCAAGGCCGGCTTTGAACTTGAGATCCTCCTGCTTCCCCAGTAGCTGGGGTTACCATGCCCAGTTGGTATTTAGTTCCCTCTTTTTTGGGAGGGAGGGGGAATATCAGGGGCTGAACTCAGGGGCAC